TTAGCCTGATAGGGTATCCTTTGTAGGTAACTTGATGTTTCTCTCTTGCCAGTCTGAGTATCTTGTCTTTGTCTGTGGTTTTAGTTATTCTAGCTATAATGTGTCTTGGAGAAGATCTTCCTGGGTTGATTCTATTTGGGGTCCTTTGTGCATCTTGGGTCTGGATCTTTGAATGCCTCTCTAAGTTTAGGAAATTTTCTTCCAGGATTTCATGGAATAGATTATCAATGCCCTTATAATGCCTGTCTTTCATAGTCTGGCTTGTTTCACTTACCATTAAATCTTCCTTATTCATCCACTATGTATCAGATGTCATGTGGGAGTCCAGTACCTTAATGCCATCTGCTGGCCCCTTCCATTAATATTTTTAGTTTCAGGTTTTATGTTTAAATCTTTGATCCATTTTGAGTTGATTTTTGTTAATGGTGATAGCTAGGGATCTGGTTTCATTGTTTGTTAGGGCTGAGAAATATTCCATACTATTTATGTGTCACATTTTTTCAATCCACTCATCTGTTCTTGGACATTTGGATTGGTTCCAGGTCTTAGCAATTGTGAATAATGCTGCAGTAAACTTGGTTATGCAAGTGTTTTTCCTAGTTTTCCTATCCTTTGGATAGATACCTAAGAGTGGAATTACTGGGTCATATGGTAGTTCTATTTGTAGGTTTCTAAGGAACCTCCATATTATTCTCCACAGTGGCTGTACTAATTTACATTCCCATCAACAATGTAGAAGGGTTTCCTTTTTACTGTAGCCTCACCAGCACTTTTCGTTCTTTTTATTATTATTATTTTTTAATCTTAGCCATTCTGACTGGGATTAAGTAGTATCTCATTGTGGTTTTCATTTGCATTTCCCTTATGCTAAGAGATGTTGTTGAGTATTTTTTCATATGCTTTTGGTTGTTCATATGTCATCCTTGGAGAGTTGTCTGTTCAGCTCATTTGCCCATCTTTTCTTTGGATCAATTAATTTTTTTTTTTTTTTGGAGAAATTTTCACTGTAGGGCGCGTGCACTCACCAGACAGACAGAGAGAGACATAGAGACAGAAAGCGAGAAATCACCCCCCAGGGGGGATGGTCACGCCGCAATCCCTTCTCCTCCATTCTCCTCTTGGGATCTTAGGCACACACGCACACGCGCCTGGCGTGAGTTTTAAGCCACCGGGTCCAGGACACGAACCGCGGTCGACTACGTGGGAGTCCAGCGACACAGCCATTACGCTAACTGCTGGTTCCCTGGATCAATTAATTTTTGCGTGTGTGTGAGTAAGCTGCTTATACTCCCTGTATATTCTATCAGTGTCTTATCTGTGGCATAGTTAGCAAATATATTCTCCCATTCTGAGGTTGTCTCCTCACTCTAATTATTGTTTCTTTTGCTGTGCAGAAGCTGTTTAGTCTGATGTAGTCTTACTTGTATATTCTTGAGATTATTGCTTATGCTCTGGGGGTCTTATTTAAGAATTCTTTGCTTACTCCAATGTCTATAAGAGTTTCTTCTGTGTTTTCCACCACTATTTTTTTTCTGAGAGATTTTTAGTAAAGGGCACGTGCACTCACTGGAGAGACAGAGAGAGACAGAAGGACAAAATGTGAGAAATCACTCCCTGAGGGGATGACCACACCACAAATCCTTTTCTTTCATTCTCCTCTTGGGATTTTGGTCAAGCACACACATGCTCCTGGCATGAGTTTCAAGCCACTGGGTCAGGGACTCGAACTGTGTTTGAACATGCAGGAGTCCAGCACCTTAACACCATCTGCTGGCTCCTTCCACCAATATTTTTAGTTTTAGGTTTTATGTTTAGATCTTTGATCCATTTTGAGTTGATTTTTGTTAATGGTGAGAGATAGGGGTCTAATTTCTTCTTTCCGTGGGTGGATATCCAGTTTTTCCAGTACCGTTTGCTAAAGAAAATTTCTTTTCCCCACTGGATTGTCTTGTCACACTTTTCTTTAAAGATCATAATTACCAGGCAGAGTCATTCTTTTTATATATTCCTGAAGGTGGCGGTATAATTATTAGTCTTCCTGGATAGTAAATATTTAGTCTATTTGACCTAGTATATCCACTTCAAGAAGTAGAACTCAACTTTAAGGAAATAATCAGAAGTGTGGTCAAAGATTTATGTGCAAAAGAATTAAAAACACTGTCATAATAGAAAAAGAATGTAAACCTACATCTATAGTATTATGGATATGGCTAAATAAACTAAGACATCTCATAAAACAGCATTACACAGCACTACAGATCACATTTTTGAAGACTAAGCAAATGATAAAATGCTCAATATACATAAAAAACAATAGGATACAATGTTACATATAATCCAAGTTCCATTTTTAATACATTTATTTTTTTATTGCCAGAGAGCACATGGGCTTGCCGGAAAGAGAAAGAGAGACAGAGAGAGAGAGAGAAAGTACCTCCCCCAGAGACATAGTCACACCAAAGTCCTTTTTCCTTCATTTCTCCATTCTGTAAGGATCATAAACATATCCTGGCATGATTTTTTTAATTTCTTTTTTTTATTGTCAGAGGGTACCTGTTATTGCCAAAGAGAAAGAGAGAAAGAGGGAGAGGGAGAAAGCACCCCCACACGCACACACACACACACACACACACACACACACACACACCATGAAGTGTTGTTCTTTCTCCTCCATTTCTCCATGCCTTTGGTATTTTGGGTGTGCATGCATATGTGCCCAGTGTGTTTTCAAGCAACCAAGGCTGGGATTCAAATTGTGGTTGGCCATGTGGGATCTGGCTCCCTATGCACAGTGCTTAACCACTGCACTATAGGACTGGCCTGATCCAAATTCCATTTTTAAAATGGATTATTACATATATAATTTTTATTTTATGGTAGTATAGCTATAAGAAACAGTTATATTTAAAGAAAAAAAATACATATATATATTTTTAAGTAAACACATTGAATATTACATGCAAATTTAAACAAAAGAAGTTTACCAAATTTAGTGGTAGGATTACAGAGGATATAGTTTCTCTTATGCATTTAAAATATTTTTGTAAAAAATATTTTTTAATTTACAGGGATTATAAAATTAATAATCTTTAATATGAGGGAATAGAAAATTTAACTAAGTCCTCATTCTATAGAAAAATTTCCATTAGGCTAGCCAGTGGTGTAGTGGTTAAGGTGGTTGAATCCCACATGGCCAGCTGTAGTTCAAATCCCGGATCCTGTGACTTGAAAAACATACTGGGTGTGTGTACATGCATGCCCATAATTTCAAGATCAGAAGGGATGATTTCTTACTTTGTCTCTGTCTCTCTCTTCCTCTCTCTCTCTCCAGTGAGCACATGTGCTCTAGAAAATTTTTGTTTTTAATTTTTGTTTTTGGATTAAATGCTCAATAAATATATGTTGTTTGCTTTGTTAATTAGACGATGTTGAATAAATTCAATAAATAAAAGAATCACATTTTAGTGTTTTAGTTAGTTAAAATGAAAAGGATAAAAAAAGGAAGGAACAGAGATATTAAAATGCACAGACCACTGGGACCAGCAGGTGGCTTCGTGGTTAAGGCACTGGACTCCCACACGGCCGACCATGGTTCAAATCCTGAACCTGGTGACTTGCATTATCATTTCCCCTTTCTCTCTCTCTCTGTCTCTCTCTGGTCAAATTTAAAAATTATATAACAGGTTAAATAAATAAATATTGGGTCATCAGGAAAATCATTAAAAAAAATACAGTACACAGAACAAACAACAGAGACATGAAGGTAAAAAGACAGACCTAGGAGAAGTGAAGCTTGCACTTCCGGAACCATAGTGAAAAACAGCACGTAAGAAGAGGGGAAATGAGACTCTCATATGCTCCTTTACTAGAAAGCAGAGACACACTCATCTGTCTTAGCATTTCCATGAAGGCACTTTAAACATGTTGCTGAGACTTTTAAACTGACGTTGCATTTCTTAAACTATAGGTACAGAGAAGAATAGAAGTTCTTATAGTTGTTCTAAGAGCTGAAAGATATTAAGCTAAGGGCCAATATGAGCCTATAATGTAGAGTATAAAGATAAAGAAATAAGATAGAATTGGGCCAGCAGATGGTATAGAAGTTAAAGCAGCTGGCTCCCACATAGCCAACTGAGAGGTTTAAGTTCTGAACCGAGGCAGCTTGAAAATCACATTGGGTGCATGTACATGTGTGCCCAAAATCCTGAGAGAACAGAGGAGACGGGATTGCAGCATCCCCCCCAGGGGATAATTTCTAATTTTTCCCCTCACTCTCGCTCTCTTTCTCCCCTTAGCAAGCACATGCACCAACTCCCCCCCCCAAAAAAAAAACAAAAAACTCCCCAAGGTATTTGGATAAAGTTGTTTGGATAACTGTTTTTTTTTTTTTTTTTTTTTTTTTTTTTTTTTGGAGAGGTTTTTGCTATAGGGCACGTGCGCTCGCCAGACAGACAGAGAGAGACATAGAGACAGAAAGCGAGAAATCACCCCCCAGAGGGGATAGTCATGCCGCAATCCCTTCTCTTCCATTCTCCTCTTGGGATCTTGGGCACACACGCGCCCGGCGTGAGTTTTAAGCCACCGGGTCCAGGACACGAACCACGGTCGACTACATGGGAGTCCAGCGATATAGCCATTATACTAACTGCTGGTTCCCTGGATAACTGTTCTCATCACTATGTCTCATATATTTCTGGGATATTTTATAGTTCTTAGGTGATTGTAAAGCATGCTGGGCCATATCAGATATAGTACACTCAGTTCTGCGCTGAAGTCTAGACAGTGACCTAGTGGTCTTAATTCACTCTACTATCTTTTAAAAATGAATTTCAGCTTTGCTCTTGGGTTTCCATTCCCAGTCTTAGAGATCAACCGGAAGATCTCTTATTCCAACTGCTGTTTTTGAGTTATGTGAATAATCATTAGAAATGTAAGTAAACTTTAAGAGGATAGTATCTGTAGGTGATAATCAAATCCTGTGACAAGTTTTTTTATTTTAGGTAATGTTCTTCTGGACTACACTTTACTTGCGTTCAGTTACTGTGGCACCTACCTGGCTAGCTACTCCACTCTCCCAGAATTTGAACTAGCCCTTTGGTAAGTGTTGGCACCCTGCAGAATTCCTTTCACTGGGTTACCTTTTAATTTTACCCTTCTAGGTATTGTCAAAGAAAATATACATGAAAATTCCAAAACAAGAAGAATAGATGGCATAAAATTCCCACTTATAAGGTCTCTATATTGACGCATCAAATTTGACAGGGCAAAAACTATATGAGAGCTAAGTTAGTTACTCTTTCTCTTATTAACATACTGTAATGTTTCATTTGTCAGGCAAAGAATACATTTCTATATACAAGAAGTTTTATCTTTTCTTAAAAATGGTACTTTAGAGTTATTCACATGTTTTCTACTATGTAATATTGAAATTAAGAGGGTCTTTGTATTAGAGCTCAGTTTGAAGTAATTGTTTTTAGGGACAGTAGAGCAATTGCAAACTTGAGAGAGCGAAACTATACCACCTTTGCAAACTGTCTAGGAAATACTTGTGGATAAGGCACATCTTTGGTCTCTGTTGGGTCATTTCCTGTGGTCAACTTCAAGGCTATATTCACTCGCCCATTCATGACAAAAACCCCTTTGGGAAGAATTTGTCTTATTAAGGAGAAATACAAAATACTCCAGGAATGACTAAGGATAATTGTTACATACCAGCATTTCTTATATAAAAATAGGAAAAAGATCTTAAATTTAAGCAACCACATGTAGTTTATATAGGGTTTATAATAGCTTTACTGAGGTATAATTGACATATAATAAACTGCTCACATATAGACTATACAGTTTGATAAGTTTTAATTTATGTATACCCTTATGAAACCATCACTATAATAAAAAAAAAAAAAAGTAAATATACCTATTACTCCTGAAGGTTTCCTTGTGCTCTTTCAGATCTTTTTGATTGGCCCTTGCCACTGTTACCCCACCCCTTAACCTGTCCCCAGGATTGGTTTCTGTCACTCTGATTTGTGTCTTTTAGAGTTTTGTTTTTGTTTTTGTGTGTGTGTGTGGTTTTTTTTTTTTTTTTGAGAGGTTTTTGCTATAGGGCGTGTGCACTCGTCAGACAGAGAGCAGAAAGAAAGAAGGCGAGAAACCACGCCCCAGCGGGGAGTGGCCACGCCGCAATCCCTTCTCCTCCATTCTCCTCTCGGGATCTTGGGCACGCACGCACACGCGCCCGGCGTGAGTTTAAGCCACCGGGTTCAGGACTCGAACCGCAGTCCACTACATGGGAGTCCAGCAACATAGCCATTATGCTAACTGCTGGTCCCTCTTTTAGAGTTACATATACAGGGAGTCATACATACATATATTGTTTTTGCCTGGCTTTTTTGGTACCGTGAAATTATTCTGAAATTCTCTCATGCTACTATATACCTCAGTGGTCATTCCTTTCTATTCCATAGCATGGGTATATCACACTTAGTTTATCTGTTCACCTGTTGTTGGATGTACTAACTTGCTAAGACTTTGGTCACAAAATACACGAACTGAGGCCAGCCAACCCCATAGCATAGTGGTTAAGGAGGCGGATCCCACACGGCCGGTCGTGTTCAAGTCGTGGCCCTAGCAGCTCTATAAACAAATGAAGCATATGTGTGTGTGTGTGCCTAAAATCCCAATGGGATGAAGAAATGGACCAGAAGGGACTACAGTGTGACCATGTCCTACTGGGGAGTACTTTATCTCTCACTCTCTCTCTCTCTCTAATGAGCATATGTGTCTTGTGGCAATTAATAATAATAATAATGAAGTACTACAAACTGAGTGGCTTAAACAACAGAAATTTATTCTCTCACTGTTCTGAATACACAGGCCAAGATAGCCATGTGAGAAGGTAAACACATAATTTCTGATAGTCCTAAAAGCAGATGACTCTTCCTGTCTTACACAAGTGCAACCTATAGATATTAAAAGTAGCAGTAAGGAGCCAGGCATGGTGTGGTTATTATGGTGCTGGATTCCCACATGGCTCACCACAGTTCGAATCCTGGACCCAGCAGTTTGAAAATCATATTGGGTGGTGTGTGCTTGTGCCCAAAATCTCAAGAGGAAAATAGAGAAGAGATTGTGGTGTGGCCACCCCCTGCCAGGGGAAGCGATTTCTCACTTTCTCTCTCTCTCTGTCTCTTTCTAGTGAACATATGCACCTTATAGCAAAATCTTAAAAACTAGCTAACTAAACAAATAAAAATAGCAGTGCAGGGGAGTGAGCACAGGCAATGTAATGTAACAGATGTAGGCCTGAATCCTGCCTCCACAGGTTCCCAGCTATGTGATCTTGGGGAGGCTGAGCTTCTATTTTCTAATCTGTAGCATGGATGTAACAATATCTCTGAATATGATTTTTCCAATAATTAATTGAGCAAAAGTGTGCACAATACCTAAGAGTGCCTATGACATATCTATTCATTTAAGTCAGAGGTTCAAAATGATGATATTTAGGTTAATTCTAGGCCACAGATATGGTTTTTTTGGCCCATAAAATATATTTAAAATTGGGAAAATGTGGAAAAAGAATAATCTGGCTGCCCTCTCTCAAACACAGGCAATTCTGGACTTGTGTTTCCACATGGCCACAGATGTGTGGGCCAGTGAGGGGCTGCTCACTCTGGATGCTCCCAGTGGCCTGCACCACCTTACAAAGGGCTTAGAAAACTATGGTACCTTAAGCTAAATCTGACTCACCACTTGTTTTTATAAATAAAGTTTTATTGGAACAGAGCCATGTTCACTTGTTTACATATGTTCTGTAGCTGCTTTTGCTTGATTAAAAAAAAAAAAAAGGCTGAGTTATTGTGATAGAAACAATATATGGTCTGCAGAGCTAAAAATATTTACTGTTTGGCCCCTTGTGGAAAGAGTTTGCCAACTGCTAACCTAGAAGTGTATATTCAGGATATCTCATGTATTTATATTAACTTCCTGGTCTTTGTAGGCATTTTGGGATTCAACCGATAATTACTGCTGGATGTGAAATGTATTTCTGGCATTTTAAAGTGGAGAAGTCTGAGACTCCTGCAATGAAGCTTTATTTGGTTGTGGTTTTTTGTTGTTGTGTTTTTGTTTTTTTTTTTTTAAAGACAAAACCTTACAGTATCATGATCCTCCTGCCTCAGCCTCCTGAGTAGCTGGGATGACAGGTGGATGTCACCACACCTAGCTTTAAGGGTGGGCCGGGAATTGAACCTGGGCCTCCCGTGTGACCTTAGCCTACTGAGTAGCAGAAGCTAGACATTGTAACAAGACATTCTTGCTGGACAGAGGTGGGATTGAGACTAGAGGCATACAATAGCTCCTCGCTACTCCCTCCCTTCCCCTATATTTGTTTGCAGGTCTTAATATTCATGGGCACTTATCTTTGGGAAATTTGGATTGGAGATGAGAGACAAGGGGTCAGGGATGAGGAGAGCAGAGGACAGAGCAGATGCTGGCGGTGGGAGGGGGAGGGAAGATCAAAACTTCTTCTCTGTGCAGAGATTCTCTGTGTAACTCTGCACTGGCAGAGGTGCTCTGGAGTCCCATGAGTGAATACGAGTGGAGCTGAGAGGTAGACCCTCCTCCAGGCCTTTACTCTGGCCCCCTAAGGTTGGAAACTCTGACAACAGTCCTAATGGCACCCTTAGGTGCTGCACAGAAATGTGAGTGGGATTTAGTCCCATGATGCAGGCCAACAGCATGAGGCTTCATCAAGTGGCTTTGCTAGAGCCAACTTAGACAAGAGGGGGCTGGAACATGAACAGGGAGGGGAACATGACTTGGTGATAGCAGCTGGTCTGTGGGTCCTGGGAGGCAGCCCCTTGGGGACTCCCAGGAATAATTCTGTGAAACTTCAAAAGAAATTAATTTCCAAAAGTCCTACCCACAGGAGCTCAAATACCATGATTTAATTCTTGGAAATAAATATGGCCAAGAACACTTTACCTGAAAGCTCTAATGTTTAAACAGAACATAGTGGATTTGTATATTATGTAACAATTTTGAAAAAAGTAAGGGGGGAATGAATGTTCTCATGTTTGGAGTCTCAGACTGGTGGGATCTGGGTCATCTGGGGTCCATGAGCAAAGACAGTATCGTAGGCTAATTACTATGGATGGACTTATCATCACCACCACCAGTTTTATCAGAGAGGCATTTACTGGGATTTCCAGTGAATTGGCCCATTTAATCCTCACCAAAATCCCATGAGGCAGCTATAATGGTCCTCATTGTAAAGAGAGAAACTGCAGGAAACCTGGGGGCTGTTCACGAGTATACTGAAAGGTTAGATGTTACAGCAGAATCTCCAAGAGAGAGTGAGCACACAGGGAAGTTTTACATAACTCCTTAATAATAGTACTGGCAGAAAGACAAAAGAAGCTGGTTCCTGTCTTAATCTGGATACTATAGTGACATACCATAGACTGGGCAGCTTATAAACAGCAGAATTTTATTTCTCAGAGTTCTGGAGATCAAGGCACCAGTGGCTTCCATATCTGGTGAGGGATATTGAATCTCCTGATTCACAGACAACACCTTCTTACTCTGTCCTCACACGGTAGAAGGGATGTGTTAGCCCTTTGGAGTCTTTTTCATGAGGGAATGAATGCCAGTCTCCTGACTTGATCATTCTCCAAATGGCCTACCTCCTAATACCATCACCATAGGGGATAGGATTTAAACATAGAAATTTGGAGGTGGGTGGGGCACAAACATTCAGCCCATAGTAGATCCTGAGTACTTAAAGTACACTCACAAACACACAGACAGAGAAAGGAATAGCTAAATAAAATGTCTAGGTTGGATACAAGAATGGTTAACTTTTCAGAGCCTTCTAAAACCGTAATACCCTAAGGTTACTATTCTACAAAGTGCACAATCATAGCCTTTGTCTGTTCTAGAGTTAACTCTAACCTATAAGATCACACCTGCCTTATCACCTGGGGGCCGTTAATGAGTGTACTGTGACAGCAAGTTTACATTCCCAGGAGTGTCAGACAGGGTTCAAAGCAAGGTACAGAGTCCATTTTTCTTAACAAGACTTGTCAGAAAATGTTTTCCAGCATGATATGAGAAATCAAGTCACCACAATTTTTCTTTTTTCCAAGTTTGAATATTTTTTTGTTCTTATAAATTACTTGACTAAACTTACTTAGTTGATGACTTGTGACTTGCTGATTGGGGTTTAAACTTGCAGGTGCCTAAACTTTTAGCGTTCCTGATGATCCAGGGTACAGTAGGAATGTGCAGAAGGTACACCTCATCTAATCTGAGGGTGGTGTCCGGTGGTTAGGGAAGGGTTCCTGGGAAGGGCAAGTGTTGTTTCGGCTGACATCTGTACAGTGTTAGTTTGCTAGGCCTGCAATAACAAACCACCTGCCATAACAATATCAAGTGACTCTATCAACAGAAACTGTCTCACTGTTCTGGAGACTAGAATTCTGATATCAAGGTGTTATCAGGGTTGGTTTCTTGTGAGGGCTGTGGGTGAGAATCTGTCCCATGTCTGTTACCTGTTTCTGCTGGTTTGCTGGTCCTCTTGTGTTCTGTGGCTTATAGAAACATCATCCAGATCTCTGCCTTCATCTTGGCATGGCATTTTCCCTGTGTATGTGACTGTCCCCAAATGTCCCCTTTATATAAGGATACCAGCTATATTGGATTAAGGCCTGCTCTGATAACCTCATTTTAACTCGTTCACCACCATAAAGATCTCATTTTCAAATACGGTCACTTTTTGAGGTACTGAAGATTAGGAGATTAACATTTGAATTTTGGAGGGACACAATTCAAGCCACAGCAATACCTAAGGGATGAGTAGGAATTAGCCTTGTGAAGAAAGAAGAAGGAGGATTTCAAGCAGAAGAATGGCATGTGCACAGGACCTAAGTTTGAAGGAAACATGGCAGATTTTAGTGAAGAGGTCATAGATGGCGACAAGGGCTGAGCCATGAGCGAGGCTAGCCTGGAGGGACAGACAGTCTAAGGCCAGCTCATGAGAAGTTTTATAAATGGGTGACCACGTGACTCATCATTCAAATTAGGATATTTTTGAGAGTGAAATGGGACTATTAATAATCAATGCAGAGCAACAGACCAAACTCATTTCCCCTTCCCTGGGGCATACCCACCTGCATATAAACCATGCTAATGGGCACGTCCTGCATGTAAGCCATGCTAATGGGCACATCCCTTATCCTAAAGCCCATGGGAAGCTATTAAAGATCGTTTGTTATTGCCAATGATGGAGAATGTCTCTGTGTGTGCATCCATATGCACAAGAGAGAGAAAGACTCAATAGGATCTCGCCATGCTGCAACCCCTTTTCCTGTCTTTTAGCTCCTCAGGATCTTGGGCATCCACATGCACACTCAGCATGCTTTCAGCCTTACCTAGGGATTCAAACCTGTGGTCATCCTTGGACTTCCAGCACCTCAATCCAGTGTGCTATATGATCTGTGCCACCCAGGCTGGGCTAGGGTTTTTCAATCATTTGTTATTTCTTTCTTTAGAGAGAGGAGGTAGCCTTGACAGGGGCTAAGCATGCCTTGATCCTTCCCACACAGCCTCCCCACCAGCCAGAATCACAGGCAGTGCCCCTAGTTCAGATTAACCTGGGATCCAAACCTGGCATCCCATGTGACCCCAGCATCCCACAGCAGTTTCCCATCACCTTTGCAACTATAGCTGCACCTATTAAAGGGTTTTAAGCAGGGATGTGACATGATCATACCTGCAGTTAAGACTCCTTTCAGCCACATTGTGGAAAGTATATTAAAGGGAAATAAGGCGTGACCATCAATTTGGAGGCAGTGATAGTCCAGGGAGGATCTCTCTGTGACTGTGGCATATACGAAGGTGGGAGGAAGGATGGAAAGAGGTGGAGATATTAGATACTTCTGTATCTAATCCACCAGTACGCAAGGTGTTAATTCCTCCACAATTCAGGTTACAGCTACTACGGACCCCTCCGACCTCCGTCTCCTGCCCAGGGGCCATAGGAGAGCCCCTGGCTATGTGAAGCAGGTGTGAGGTGAGACACAGGTGGGCTGTGCCACCTGAAGTTGAACAAAGCCCACACGGAGTTGGACAGCCCCAAATTAGCCAGGCAAAACAGAGGGTTGAAGCCCCAGGCACAATTGAAGCTGACATGATAAGAGGTGTCCCATAAGAGGTAGTGACAGAGACCAGGAGCGATTCCAGAAGGCACTGGAAGTGAGCTGTGTCAAGTTCTGCAGAGTTAAGGTTAACCGTGGACCAAGAAATTTAGGATGAAGGTAGCTATCTGTGGTTCTTGGAGAGAGGTGTGTGGATGGATTGGTGGCGACAGGAAGCAGATAATCTGGGATGAAGAGAGGGGTAGGTAAGGAAATAAAGGCAGTGAGTTTAGAAAAACTGTCAAGAAGTTTGGTTCATAGGAGAGAAGAGACGCATGGAAGTGTGAGTCTGAGGGAGGGTTTGTTTTGCTTTTGTTTTTGTTTTTTAACATAGTACAGATAAGCACTTAAGCCTGACAGGAAGGAGTCAGGAGAAAGAGAGCATCTGGGATCAACCTGTGATATGGTGGTTAAGGTGACAGGATCCCATATGGCTGACTACATGGTTCAAGTCCCAGACCTGGAAGCTTGAAAAACACACTAGGCACATATACGTATTTACCCCAAATCTCAAAAGATGAATATGGAGAAGATATTGCATTCCCCATGGAGGATGTTTACTCACTTTCCTTCTGACTCTCTGGCTCTCTTAGAGAGTCCATATACCCTCTAGTAAATAAAAGAGGGAGAGACAGACAGACAGACAGAACATCTGAAGATGCAAAAGAGAAGGAATAATGGATAAATTAATGAGAAAAAGAGACAAGACCTTGTAGGATTCAGAATACACGTGTAAAATTGGCCTTAGGTACTTGTCTTCCACAGTAACAGGAAAACAGGAGGAGAGAATATTGCATACATGGTAGGTATTTGGACTTGCTAGCAGGAATTGGGGAAAATTGTCAGCCTATGGTCTCTATTTTCTTTATGGAAATCAAAGTCATTTATTGACATTTAGAAAGATTCAAGGGGCTGGCAGGTGGCATGGTGGTTAAGCCGCTGGACTCTCACATGGTCAACCTTGGTTCAAGAGTTGGACTTGGCAGCTTGCTTTCTCACTTTCTCACTTCTTCTGTCTCTCTCTCTCTCTCTGATGACTATACCAAGTTAAGAAATAATACTAATAGGCCTTTTGAGCCACTCTTTCTCTGTCTGCTCAGGCCTGCTCTTACCTCTCAGGAGTGTACTTTTACTTAATAAAGTGACTTTTTCTTTTAAAAAATAATACTAATCATAAATAAAATAAAATTCTTTTTTATTTTTTAAAAAAGAAAGATTTGAAGGTGTTAGAGGCTTTAGAAGAGTGGAGATTGTTAACAATGGCCACATTAGACAGTGAGAGAGAACTGACCAGAGAAACATGGCAAGGCTCGAAGTTTTACTGAGAGTCCTGTGAGGGAGATGATCATGAATTGATAGTGTCACTGACACGCCTGGCTTGTGATCTTTATTCCTATGTCTCCAGCAGCCCAGATATTCATTTATGTCCTTCCAGGGTTGAAAGATTTTGCCAGCTATCTGAGATAGGAAGTCAAAGGATGAAAGAAACCAGAGAATGGCTGAAGTGATACTTAGGTCATTTGTGTTGGGGGGATGGAAGGAAGTGAGAACAGGAGGGCACTGAAAGACAAGGCAGACATAACTAGTAGTTCCAGTTTCCTAATCACAACTCTAAATGAAGTCCTGGCTTTCATATGAGGGCATAGCAGACATTTTTCCCCTTTCCTTTCATCTAGCAAAAGACCTGATTTATGGCAGGGATCTAGGATTGTCTAAGTCCATTTTCTATTGCTGTAACAGAATACCACAGACTGGGTAATTTATGAAAAACTGATGTTTATTTGGCTAATGGTCCTGGGGTCTGGAAAGTCTAAGAGCATAGTGCTGATATGTGGTAAGGGTCATCACATGGGGGAAAGCAACCAAGCATGCAAACAGAGAAAAGCGGAGCAGAACCTATCGTTTTATCTGAGCCCACACCCATGATTACGGAATCAACCCATTCCGAAGGAAAGAGACTTTGTGAGATGATCACCTCTTAAAAGTCCCGCCTTCTGGGACCAGCAGATAGCATAATAGTTTCATTGCTGGACTCCCACATGGCCAACCATAGTTCAGGTTCTGGACCTGGTGGCTTAAAGCTGTGCATGTGTGCCCAAACTCCTGATAGGAGAATGGAGGAGAAGGGATTGTGGTGTGGTTATCCTCCCTGGGGGTAGTGATTTCTCACTTTCTGTCTGTCTCTCTGGTGAGCACACGGCCCTATAGCAAAAACCTCTCTAAAAAAAAGTCCTACCTTCCAACACTGTTACAGTGTAAATTGTTTTCAACTCATGAACTTTGGGAACTTGTTCAAACTTTAGCAAGGATAGTCTCTCAAATAGATAAATGATAAATCATCTTAAAATACTACCACTTTGATTTTAAAGACTCACTGAATAATCGTTGATGGCGATGAGTAAAGTACACTCAGAGCCATACGGAGTACTCGTACATAGTCCTTAGAGCTTTAAACAGCTACACTTGTTTTTCAGCAAATGTGATGGTATATTCTACTCTCTAGGTTTAGCTGACTTAAATTCAAATTTAATAAGGAGAGAGGATGAAATTGCCTTGGCACAGTATGTGGTGGTATAATATATTTTAAATATATAGTTATTTTGTTTCTTAGCTGCATACAGTTTAATGATAAGCATAATTATTTACACACGACATTAATGTGCTAGATTAGATAAGTTGTATCATAAATTATGTCTCAATTTATGTAAATTGTTTTAAAATAATTAGAAAAATGTTCCCAAGGCATGAAATTTAAATTGCTTGTTTTTTCATCAAATTCTTATTTTCCTAAGGAACTGGGAGTCGAATGTCATTTTGTGCAAGAAATCACAGCCCGGTGTGGATGTGAGCCAGATGTCTTTTAACCCCATGAACTGGCACCAGCTATGCTTATCTAGTCCGAGTTCAGTGACTGTGTGGACCATCGAAAGAAGTAACCAGGAGCATTATTTCAAATCAAAGTATGAAACATTTTTTCTAGACAATGACAAAGTAATTGTTTTGGTTTGCATTCATATCATCTGATTGGGTCAATATGATGAATCAAGTGCCTGTGTGTGGGTATACACATATATATGTATGCATATACAGTTTATCTTAAGTTATAGCATCTTTCTACATATTTAATTACCTTGGGAGTTGTTTGCATTTCCAAAGGATTCCCTATGACTTGATTTCCCAATGAGTTTATTTTTTTTTAAATATCAAGTCCTCTGAGGGCTTTTCCAATATGGTGTAGTTTTCTAAAACTTGACTTCCTCTTACTATTTTGAAACTTGTCTATTGTATAAAAAGAAAAAAGTGTTATGACATGTTTTTCTCCTATTATTTTGATGCCCTACTGTAACCTCAAAAATAAGAAACTATTAGATACAGAAAGTATACATTCAACCACATTATCCACAAACAAAAGAGTATTTGCATATAGTGGAGGCATGGGACTTCAATAAAACTGGGTTAGACCCTTTAAATAGAACTGAGTTAAAGAGAAATTCTATTACAAATGTCCTGGTAGTAACTGATGATAATAGATACCTTTGTTAAGAAAGAGTTTAGGGACCTTTTAAGGACCTTGTGGGGAAAGAGTTCAAAGACTCATGGTCTCACTAAGCTTACTATTTTCAGCATACTCCATGAAGTTGAAGACCAAGAGATGTTGGACATGTATACCCTTGAAATTGAAGTTTTGGAAAAGTATTCTAAAGAGAAATATAAAGCTAGTCAATACAGTCTTCACAAGGGAGAGCCCTAAGATAAGCATGTCTTTCTGCTCAGAACTCTTTACATCTCAATTTCATTTTTACAAGAATCTATTGAGTAGCCAACTCTGTCTCTAGTCAGAGCTGACAACATTGTACCTTTCAACAAAGTAGTGATATCTCTATCAGGTTCTTGCCAGGGCAAGCCGGTAATTTATCACACCCTTTTCCCCATTTGCTGCCCTGAAATATTCTACTCTCGTTCTAAATGTTGGCCTGTGATTTTTCTAAAAGCAAATAAAATAGGAGAAAAAAATGACCGGTTCATAAAACCATCAGGATTCTAAAACACTTAAGCCTCACATCTGAATAATAGGTAGTTTTATGTGATCATTTTTCAGAATTATGTATTATTCACATAATGTAACCAAGGACATTTTGAACTGAATGCTTGAGACTCTGAATTCACCAAACTCACTTCTATAATTATAGGTTAAAATATAGTAGATCTAGAGTAAATTTGAAAATGAATTCTTGATATCAGAGGCTGCAAAGGTAGCTGAATACTACATACATGTTTATTTTGGCCAGTCATGTTGGTTTTTTGTTTTGTTTTGTTTTGTTTTGTTGTTGTTTTACATTAGCTGTCAACATTTAAAATTTGAGAGTTTTCTCATATATATCCAGATTATGGTATGTTCTTGAAAGTCTAGAGCCAGATATCCACATGTCAACAACCCTCTTGGCTGGAACTGAGTGGCACCTGCCACCTTTAAGACGACAAACACTCCCATTTGCCAGTCTCTGCCAGCCACAAATGACTTACCTGACCCTATTCACATTCAAACTTTATTCTTGCTTTAGATATTAACTTTGAAAATGTATAAAATAATATTCATATACTTAGTTTATAACTGTGCATGACTTGTCCTTTTACAATATATGTGTTAAAATCTACCATTGGTGGGGCTGGTGGTTAAGGCATTGGATTCCCACATGGCCAACCCTGAACAGGCTGGCTTGAAAATCACTCCCATTCCGTGTGTGTGTGCATGCCTTAAATCCCAGGTAGAATGGAAGAAAAGGGATTGTTGTTTGGCCATCCAACCAGGTGGGTGATTTCTTGCTCTCTCTTTCTGTCTCTTGGGGAATCACAAGCACCCTATAGCAAACAAAACAAAAACAAAATACTAACATTAGGGTTTTATCTTTTTTTTTTATCAGTTATAGTATTACCACATCTCACTCACCACTTTCATATGGTGGTTATATCAATGATTAATTTCTCTCTCTTTTTTTTTAATTTTTGGAGAGGTTTTTGCTATAGGGCACATGTACTCGCCAGAGAGACAGAGAGAGACAGAGAGACAGAAAGCAAGAAATCACCTCCCAGGGGGGATGGCCACACGGCAATCCCATCTCCTCCATTCTCCTCTCGGGATCTTGGGCATGCACGCTCAGCATGAGTTTAAGCCACTGGGTCCAGGACTCGAACCGTGGTCGACTACGTGGGAGTCCAGCGACATAGCCATTACGCTAACTGCTGGTACCTGATTAATTTCTCTTGATGTGAGTGTTCTGGTGTCTCTTTGTTCTACAGGTCAGTAAGGCTGCCTCTAGAAGATGGGTCATTTTTTGATGAAACAGATGTCATTTTCCCACACTCGTTGTCCAAGGATCCCATCTATGGACCTGTGCTGCCACTATCAGCCGTTGCTGGGCTAGTAGGTGAAGAGGCGGAAACTTTCAGGGTAATTATCTGGCAGCTCTTCCTGTTTGTCTAGCAGGCTGAGACCTGGGAAGTGTGATCTCATTTGGTTGGCATAACCATCCCATGTGACATGCAGGACAGAGAAGATCTTCCTAGTTCGTGGAGATTAGCTATGAAGACCATAAGACATGAAGATTCTGCAGTTCTGACTTTGAATGAACAGGGGGCCGCTGGCACTGCCAACAGAAATTAGGAGCCCAGATGTGATCTCGGTTTTAGACATATTGAATTTGAGGTGCAGGGGACACAAGTAGCCATGCTGGGCAGCGCCAGAAAACAGGATCTACTGTTAGGGGAAGGCGGGAGACACAGATATCGCTGTCTTTCTCACAGATGGGATAATGGGAGCATCGAGAGGGGGTCTGGTGAACATGAAGAGAAAGCCCAAGAGCGATGCTGACTACCAATGACAGGAGGAGAAGGAAGAGTCTGAGAAGACAGAGTTATAGAAGGAGGAACAATCCAGGAGAGAGGAATAATAAGGTCATGGAAGACAGTGGCAGAAAGCTTCAAAAGGGACAGTCTGTCCACAGCTACACACTCATTCATTCACTCAGCATGTATTTATCAAGCACCTTTTATGTAGCAGGCACTGTTTTAGGCAATGGGGAATCACGCAGCAACAGACTGGGCATAATTCTCATGGAGTCTACATTCTTGTTAAGGAGGCAGAACCACCAAAACAACAAAAGTAAAGAGATACAGTAAATCATTGCAAAATTTGATGTTTATTATAAGAAATGAGGGCAGTTATGTCAAGGAAGAGATTAATACAGGCTGGTTAAGGAGGCCTCTTGTGAGCTGACACTCAGACTTGAAGATCAAGGAGGCATTATTGGCATTACAAGTATGGTAAAAAGTGTGTCAGGTGGAAGGAACCACGTGTGCAAACGTCCTGGGAGAAGAGAGATTTACATGTTAGGGAAACTGGGAAAAGACCCATATAGCTGGAACATGATAAATGAGAAGGGAATGAAGTGCACAGTCTCATTTAAAAAATAAAAAAGAAAGAAAAACACAATTACTTATTTGTTTATTTTTATTTATTTATTTAAAGTGAAAAAGCAAGCCACCAGGTCTGGGACTCGAACCGCGTTTGGCCATTTGGGAGTCCAACCTCCTACCACTAGAGTCTCATTTATGAGGGAACACAGGTTAACTCACTAAGGCCTTTGGGGTGAGAGTAGGGAGATGCATTCTCTTGAGCCTCTGGAGACTGTGTTCTGCTAATGCTTGTCTTAAACCCTAAGCAGAGAGTGAGGGAAGTGGCAGTTCCCATATGCTTTTGACCTCTGCAGAGAATGAAGCTAGGAATGTTCAAAATAATTCGGTATAAGAATTCAGTCATTGAAAAAATCTATAGCAGGGAGAGAAAGGTTGTATGCCCTCCGATAAATGACAACATTTCGCTTTTTTAAATGATGGAAAACAACTAATTCCTCAGCTAGCACAGGTCTTGTGCTGAATAAACCTTGGAAATAGAACCACAGGCCGCCACAGCGGGGCAGCAAAGTAAAGACAAACAGATCAGCCATGGAAGAATGTTTCTATATTTAGTATTTGGTGCCTAGAACTCCCAAATTTTAATGATCTCAACTTTTTCTTTTCTGCAGTGAATTTCTCCAGAAAGTTCTCACATTTTGCACACCATGATGACTACACACTACATAAAACATTTAAAATTAAGGCACTTGTCCTTGTCATTTGAAAAATGCTGTAAAAGACTTTCTTTAAATATTCAAATATGGAGTTACCATTTTATAAAATCCTCATAATAAACAGACATCTTTATTTCCTAGGACTTTTGCAATTAGGGCATTTTGAGATTTTTCTGAAAGCAGACATTTACTGTTGTAGTTTGACATCTCTAAATCACACAGGAAATATTATTAAAGTTATAAAACTTGCATTTAAGTTAGAAATTAATTTTTACAGTTGTTTACTTCTTCATTGTATAGCTAAATAGGGTGAGAGAAATGGGATCCCCTAGGACTTGATACATACAACATTGACGTATAATGTACATTAATGACAGAAAGAATAGCCCTGAAAGATCTTAAATGTCTTCATTCCATTCCTTCCTTTGAATGTCATTTCTTGTGACTTTGGTACCAATGGCAAAGAAATCATTAATGACTTGATCTATATATGAGTCTTAATAATTAACAAGCTATGGAGTTTTACAAAATTGCTAACATTAAATAATTTCATTATCTTTCTTGTAGCTTACATTTAAAGGGCGAATTTTAGGCCTTTAAGTAGACCTGTGTCACATTACACAACTTACTAGGGCATCAGAAACTTATCCAGGTGTAGCATGAGGGAAATCAAAAGCAGATGTTATCTAGGCAGAAATTGGATCTCAGATAACGAATTTAATCTCAAGTGTTCAATTTCCTTTTTCCATCTACTTAAAAAAAAATTAACAGAACAGTATTAAGTTGGATTCCAGTATTATCATGTTTGGTCTTCAAGTACTTAAAATGTATGACTTATGATTGCAGAGAACTGAAAAAGAAAGTGGTGTTACCTACTAACATGTAAAAATGCTGTTAGCTTCTTTTCTTTAAAAGTCTCATCATTTTCATTACTGAAATTATTGTTTCTGCTCACTTAATCCATATAATATTGCATTCATTTTTAAACAGTACATATTTGTTGATGAAAGAAAATATTAGATACAACCAAATTTATCTTAAAAAAGAAAATCCACATACAATACTGGCTTAACATCCCAAGGCCAGAAAATTCTGAATCTTAACCTTCATGTTCTGTTTCACACACAGATTCACTGGTATTGTGAAAAACAGATAGGTGATTTCGGGTTTTATTTTTTAGATTTTGAGCCTATTGCCATGCCAAGTAAGAGTCAGTCTTTTTGCAATTTATGGTCTAAGATAGATGTCATTAAGACTATTTAAGACATTTTTAGATAGAGGTGATTCTATAAGTAACTCTTTTCCCTATGAGTCAAATTTCAGTCACATACCGCAGAAATGCCATTAATCAGCAGGAGATCAATCCTTTCATAACGTTTTTGCCTTTTTTCCCCCACTGGGTGACTAGGTGGTTACTCAAATAATTATTTTCTCTGTTCAAGACGATGAGAACATGAAGTAAACCAGTCATACAACTGAAGTGAATCTATCTTTTAAAAATTATGAATGATGATTGCTCACATGTATGATTGCTACCTTAGTCATATCCCAAGGTGTGTCCTGAATGACAGTTTCTTCTCCACTCCTCCCACTTCACCAAAAAGAACCAACTGCTTTCTCAATGATGTTTCTGTAATGTTGAAACATCCCTCTCCTATAACTGATCTATCAGTCTTCTGGTTCTGGTATTTGTTGATAACTACTTTCTTCCTCAGCAGTGACTGTCCTTCTGAGAAAAGGGATCCTTTAGGACTTGGCATAATGCACGCTATATAACCAACATCCAATGAATATTTATTTGACGTATCAATCATATAGCAAATTTCTGTCAGTTGAGGATCTGATAGAACTACTACTCTGGCAGTACCACACTTGTCACTATTTAGAGTCTGCAAACCTTTTTTAAATTAAAAGAGCAATATATAATAAGTGATTCAAACAGTCAAGTATTTATTAGAAAGCTGACTTGTTTATATCAGCACATTTTATTTATTTATTTATTTATTTATTTTCTTCATTCACGATAGAGTGTGTATACATTTGCAAGAGAGAGAAGCCCCTTCTACAGGGTCTGGTGATCCTTCCTACAGTCTTCCAACTCACTGGATCCTGGTCTCTCTTGTGTGTGCCTGAGGGTTTCTGGCTGACCAGTCCAAGGACTTGAACTACAATCACCATGTGGTATCCAACTTCTCTTGAGCAGGACATTACCATTGCACTACAGAGCTAGTCCCTATTATTTCTTTTTAAGATAAATTCTCACCATATCACAATCTTCCTGCCTCAGCCTCCCAGCTGGAACTATAGGCATGACCACCACATCCGGGTTCTTTTCCAGACAAGGTCTCACTGTGTTGCGCAGGCCAGTTTTGGGCTCACAGTCCTCCTGCTTCAGACTTTCAAGTCACTGGGGTTTCAGGTGTATGCTACTGTATCTAGCTGGACCTGCACCTCCCATGGGATCCCATTCCGGGGAGTGCAAGATCAGTGATAGGCTCAGACTATCAGGGAGTTTTGAAAGAAAAATGGCTATTCGTATACGAAGGGATTTCAAAAAGTTTGTGGGAAAGGGAACTAAAGTATGAGTTTATTTGGGCACAAACAATTTTGGATACTCATGTAGAGTTTTTCATAATACACATTTTCCTAAACTTTTTGAAGAACTCGGGTAGGCCCACAATATTTCCTAACTGACACCTGATTCAACTTATCCTGCTGTATTTTTCTTCAAGCATGTTTCAACTCATAGAATTTTGTATATTTAACTTCTTACCTTTCTTTTACTCTGTTTGCTCTCACAGGATGTAAGCTCCAAGGGTCAGGCATTGTGTTTATCTGTTTTTTATTTTATTTTTCGCTGCTGTATCCTGGTGCCTACAACAGTGACCACAGATACTTGTTAGATAAAAAAGTACTTGCATGAAAGAATGAAATAAACACGAAGCTCTTAAGAGATTTAAGAATTCTGTTAATTTGTCCAATCCCTTATTGCCCAGTGTTTTGTATGACTATGGGCATAAGGGTACCTAAAAAAAAACAGAAAAGAAATTATATTACAGCAACAATTCTAAATAATAGCAGAGCATAACAAAACGCTCAAGTAGTACCAAATATTATACACACACACGCACACACACACACACACAATATAGACCGTATATGTGTGTGTATTTTAGATTTTTGTCACACGGCGTGTGCACTTGCTAGAGAGAGAGGAAAAGAGAGACCACCCCCGCAAGAGGGGATGGTCATGGTTCAATCTCTTCTCTCTATTTGCCACTTGGGATTTTGGGCACATATGCACATGCGTCTGGAGTGTTATTCAAACCCCCAGGTCTAGAACTTGAACTGCATGGTCGATCATGTGGGATCGAGTCACCTAAACCACCACACCACAGGCTGGCCTGGTTTTTACATGTTTTAAGAGTCAAAAAAAAGGGGCGGGGTATTGTGACAGAGATCCATGTATTTCATAAAACCTAGAAAATCCACTATCTGGTTTTTTACAGAAGAAATTTTCTTCAGGTCATGGCCCCTATTATCTTTAGTCCTCCAAGTCAACTTTTCTTCTAGGTACATCCCTTAGAGTTTTGTGCCTTTTTCTTTCCATGGAATCAGTTATGTAGGATGCTTCATGAACCAAATCAGACAAAGGGTCCCCTTTTCAGTCCATATGAAAGCAGCTAAGGAGAGGAGCCAGGCCAGCCTCTCCACAGCAGCTCAAGGAAAACCACAGTTGAGTCCTTTGCAGAACCAAGAGAAAGAAATGCTGATGAGATTCTTCCTCAAAATGGATGATTTTAGGGACCAGCAGTTGGCGTAGTGTTTATGTCACTGGATTCCCATGTAGTCGACCGTGGTTCATGTCCTGGACCTGGTGACTTAAACTCATGCCAGGCACGTGTGCGTGCGTGCCCAAGATCCTGAGAGTAGAATGAAGGAGAAGGAATTGCGGTGTGACCATCTCCCCTGGGGGTGATTTCTCGCTTTCTGTCTCTCTGTCTCTCTCTGTCTTTCTGGGAGCGCATGCGCCCTATAGCAAAGACCTCTCAAAAAAAAAAAAAAAGGGATAATGATTTTAGCTAGACAAGGACTTTCTTAAAGTCACAATGCCAAAAAAGAAGCAGTTTAGAAGTTCTTATTCAGAACTCTCATGAGAATCTATGACAGTGGAAGAACTCAAAGTATGTTGGCAGGAACATCTTATTTTTTTTCCTTGGTGAATTAAAATGTAGAAAGAAATGAAGTGAAGAAGTTTACTTGGCTCTTAACGAATGGCAAGACCCATGAATGTATGAATAACTACATTTATTGGTTTCTTTATGGCAATTTTTCTGATGGGTATTTCTCTGGCTCTTAGAAAGGTTGTTGTCTTAACACAAAGTTTTTATTCTTTCTTCGAAGCCAAAAGATGATGTATATCCTCTGCTACACCCAACTATGCATTGCTGGACTCCAACAAGTGACCTGTATGTTGGCTGTGAAGAGGGTCATCTTTTAATGATTAGTGGAGACACCTTGAAAGTGACTGTGCTTACTAAGATAGAAGAGTCACCACCACTGGGTGAGAAACTGCTCTGCTTTATATTCCCAAAAGTGTAGCCATGATTGCTGGTTTTGCATACACCTAAAAATGGATACTTCATTTCCTAGTTTTTCTTTTTTAATGTCATCTTTGTTTCTCTCTCTCTCTCTCGTGCGCGAGTCCTCTCTCTCTCTCTCTCTCTCTGTCTGTCTCTCTCTCTCCCCCTTCTCTTTTTTATAGGCAGAAAGCATATGCACTCACCAGAGAAAATGACAGAGAAGGCACTCCGTAGTGGGGTATGATCACACCACAGTCCTTTTTCGTCCATTTTTCCATCTCATTGGGATTTTGGACACACACACATGTGCCCTATGTGTTTTTCAAGCAACTAGGGCTCAGATTCCAACCGCTTGGCCATGTGAGATCTGGCTCTCTTAATCTCTGCATTATGGGGACGGCTCCCTCCTTCTCCTTTATCCTCTAATTAGTTACCAAGTCCTGCGGATACATCTTACAGCTAGGTCATGTTTACTGAGTGTTACTATGCTCTTGGCATTCAACCATCATTTTGTATGCTTATTTCATGTAATCCTCAAGGCACAATTATAAGGAGATACATCTTTATCTCCATGAGACAGAAGAGGTTAAGAAACATGTCCAAGTTCACAAAAACTGTGGAACTAACATCTGAACCCAGACCTCAGAGTCTAAGATCTTAGCTACTGTGTTACAGTCTCTCCTACACACACTCCCCATTCTGCTTAGTCAGCTAACCGTGCTCTTTCCTCTTCCTGCTCTTCTCGAACTTTTGCCATACCTCTTTTAAGTCCAAAAACCATCTTGGAAATTACCTTTCGTTGCTTGGCTAGCATTTCAAAGAGAACGGATCATCTATTCTCCCTTATGTCCATCTGTGGCTCCATCAGCTGTGGCTGAGTCACAGGAGCCAGCGCACACCTACTGAGACTAGGTGTGTAGATTCTTTGAGGGAGCATGGCAGGGAAAGCTCTCCAAATCTGTCCAATGCTTTCCTTTATTCCAATTGCTCTTATTATTTCACACCTTGATTTCTTAAACTATTGTAAGACTGAATTCATTGACCTTAATCTAAAAATGACCCAAACCAGGGCAGCTTATTCCCTGCCAAACTGCTCTTTATGAAGACCATTTTCAGCAGTCACCTTAAGGACTGCTCTGCTTTGATTTCAAGTCCTCCTTAATCTTAAAAAAAAAAAAAAAGGAAAGAAAAAAAGTCTAGTCTTACTTTTTTTTTTTTTTTAAGTTTGTTATTTGTTCCACAAAGGAGAGAGATAGGGAGATGAGAGAGAGAGAGAGAGAGAGAGATAGGCAGACCCAACAGGGTCCACACACTGCAATCCACTCCAGCCTCAGCCGGCCTGGATCGCAGGCTATATGTGCATACTCAGCACGCCCAAGGCAGTGTGGGGATGCAAACAAGGACCCTTCCCACGTGGGTCTGGTTGTGTTACCACTGTGCCACCACCTTACCCTTAGCCTTCCTTAGCCAAATCCTAACTACTCTATTAGGATATGTCCTACTATTTCCCAGCCATAGCTTTCTGATCTAGCCAGTCATTTCTTTTCATCATGTCACACACGTGCCTTTCTCCTGGCTCATTCCATCACTACTTTTTTTCTTAATCTTCCAGTGCTCAGGTCAAATACCACCTTCTCTAGCAAGTTTTCCTGAATTGCAATGTGTCTTATCTATTCCCTCTCCCATTCCCTGACTCACACTTCACTGATAAAACTAAGGCTATTGGGTTTGACTTTCCTAACCACTGTACTCTCTTTCCTTTACTTCTACTGTACACCCCAGGCTTGCTCTCCTCTCCAGTAATCAAGCATCTAGAGTGCCATCTAAGCAGCTTTCTGAAAAATTAGTCTCTTTTTTGCTTGACTTCCTAACTTCAGCTCCTCTAACATGAGATTTTCAAAAGTTTCAGGCCAGCTCCATGGCCTGGAGGTTAAGGCAGTCAGATCCCACATGACCAACCATGTGGTTCAAGTCCAGGAAGGGCAACCTGAGAAACACATCTAGAGTATGTTCATGCACGCCCAAGACCCGACACGAGGGATAGATGGAGGAGAAGGGATTGTGGCATGACCATTCCGCAAGAGAAGTGCTTTCTCATTTTTCCCTCTCTGTCTCTCTGGTTAGTGCATGCACTCTCTAGCAAAAACAAGCAAATGAATGAAAGTTCTCATTGTTCCTGTGCTCGCTCCAAATTTTGTCAGTGGGCATTTGTTATTTCCTTTGTCTGGGATGCCCTTCTCTTCCTTGTCTACTTGGTCAAATTATTTCCTTTGTAGAACCTTTCCTATTCTCACCTCAACCCTCAAGCAAGGTTAGGTGTGCTACTGGGGAGCCCACAGGACTCATGCTTTTGCTAAACCCCATCCTGTGCTATTACAGTAGCCCATGTGCATGCCTGTCTTTCCCACCAATCCTCAGCTCTTTGAGATCAATAATTGTGTCTTGCTCATTCTTTGGCTCCAAAATCTAATCCCAGCTATTGCTACAGAGTATAATGGCACTTATTTGTGTTTATGAAATGAATGATATTGGATTGTTGGAAAAGTCATAATGTATTTTTCTATGATTTTCTATGCAAAAATGTGTCATGACTCTCCGTCACCACCACCACCACCCCCACCCCAGCCAAGCCAATAAGCAGTTTCTCATTTCCAAACTCCTGTCATACTTCAAATACGTTTTATACAATTTAGGACTTAACATATGTAATTGTGTCTGCTCACCATTTTCTCCCTACCTACTATTACTTATTACTTCCATGGAACATTATAAATGCTTTCAGATACATATTTTTTCAAATATTTATGTATTTATTCATTTATTTTAATTTGAGCAGAGAGAGAGAGACACACACACACACACACACACACACGCAGAGAGAGAGAGAGAGAGAGAGGGAAGTGAGAAAGCCAGCCACTGGGTCTGGGACTCAAACCGTGGTCGGGCATGTGGGAGTGTCTAGCGCCTTAACCACCACACCACCTGCTAGTCCCCAGATACTTATTTTTTTTAAGAGAAAGTTTTGCCATAGGATGTGAGCACTTGCCAGATAAACAGAGACAGAAAGTGAGAAATCACTCCCCCGGGTGGGGGGGGCGGGGGAGGGCCACACTACAGTCCCTTCTCCTCCATTCTCCTCTCAGGACCTTGGGCACTCTAAGCAAGATTTCTTGAGGTTACATAGATAACAAATTGTCTTATAATTTCCATCTTTAAGGAACTTAGATTTTATCAACAAGGATATGACAAATAGACAAATAATTACAATCAGGTAGATTAAGATGGCTTCATTAAGAGAGAGCTTCACAAGGTGCTATGGGAATTCAAATGAGGGAAACAGCCCAAATAAGCCATTTTGAAGGTCGCATTTGAATTGGTGAGTGAAAAGAGGGCTTTACAGACACAGATGTGGGTAGGTGGAATTTTTGGCAATGGTATCTGCATGGAAAAGAAAACATGGGAGGGCCAGCCCTACAGCCTAACTGGTTAAGGGAGCTGGATCCCACATGGCTGACTGTGACTCATACCCCAGCCCTGTCAGCTTGAAAACCACTCTAGTTACATGTAGGTGTATGCCCCAAATCTCAACAGGATGAGAAATGGAGGAGAAGGGATTGTCATGTAATCACACTCCAGCCCCCTCCCCGTAACCCCCTCCCTCTTGTGAGCACACATACCATCTGGAAATTAAAAATAAAAGATAACATGGGACATATTGAGAAACAAAAAGTGGTCGGTCTTGTCTGGAGCATGGGGTATTACAAAAGAGAAGTGGGGAATGAAGGGGCATTCATATCCTACCTGCTACAACTAAGACATTTGTACTTAATTCATCTGAGAGTGGGCAGACATCAAAAACCCAAATGGGGATGTACTCTGATTGGACTTGATAAAGCAGATTCATTCAGCCATAATTCAGGAAAGAAAGATCCTAGAAGGGAACCAGCAGTTAGCGTAATGGCTATGTCGCTGGATTCCCACGTAGTCGACCGCGGTTCATGTCCCGGACCCGGTGGCATTCATATCCTACCTGCTACAACTAAGACATTTGTACTTAATTCATCTGAGAGTGGGCAGACATCAAAAACCCAAATGGGGATGTACTCTGATTGGACTTGATAAAGCAGATTAATTCAGCCATAATTCAGGAAAGAAAGATCCTAGAAGTGGGTAGGTACAAAGCAGCAAGCACCAAGACCAGATCAGGAGTAACCTGGGCTCTAGTGGCACTTGGACCATAAAAAAGGGACTGCTGGAATGTCTTTGAAGGAAAGGACGGACACCATGCTCTTGGAATTAGCAAAACGTCAGACACATAGTACGCAGTAAGCAAATAATTTGATGGATGCCATTTGAGTGTTTGATTCTGTAGTTTCCATATTTGTCTACATAGAAAGGTAATATGCTTTCATTATTTTCCCCCAAGGGCAATATTTTATGATAATAAATGTGTTCTTATAGAACATTTTGTCTTTTAACCTTTCTATGTCTATAGTGCTTTATTCATTGAGGTATACATTTACATGCCATAAAATGCACAAATCTTAAGTATACAGCTTGATAACGATACAGTTTTGGTTCATTGAGTTTTTGTTACCCCCTCTTTTTAAGAAAACTAAAATTTTTTAAGAGAGATTTTTGCTCTAGGGCCCGTGCGCTCACCAGTGAGACAGAGACAGAGAGAAAGAAAGCAAGAAATCACCACACAGAGGGATGGCCACACTTTTTCCTCCATTCTCTTGGGATTTGGGGCACACACTCACATGTACCCGGCATGAATTTTAAGCTGCTGGGTTTAGGACTTGAACTGTAGTTGACTACATGGGAGTCCAGCAACATAACCATTATGCCATCTGCCGGTCCCTAAGAGTTTTTTTTTTTTTTTTTTTTTTTTTTTTTTTTTTCAAG